ACAATCTTGTCTTGTTTTGTGAGCCATGGTAGTTGGGTTGTGCTGGGGTGAGTCAGCAAGTCCTGAGCTTTGAGTGAGATCAGTTCTTCAGTACAAGCAAAGCTGTGGCTGGAGCTTGAGAGATGAGATGTGCAGTGGTGAGTACTGAGCTGTGGAGGCACTGAGCAGGGTCCTCACCTGGGACACCTCGGCTCAGCCAGACTGAACACTGCATTTCCAGTGAGTCACAGAACAGGCCACTGATGCCTGTGTCAGAGAGTGACAGACACAACTTGAAAGTGATCTGAAGATCATTGTTAGAACATGGATCTGTGTGTTCTTACAAAGTGGCTCAGGTGTGGCCTTTTGCTTCACCTTGAATTGTCTAATAATAAGACTCAATAATGTCAGAATTTTGGACTCTGAATTCCTTGTTCCTTGCAGGTTTAACTAAAGACTAATCAACTGAAGTTTGGTTGTTATTTTTTTTCTCAATAACAGATTCTTGAAAAAGTTGGTGTTCAAACCTCATCCCGAGCCACAGAAGCTTGAATAAAACACATTTTTAATTTAGTACTGGAATAAAGGGTACTAAAGAGAAAGATAAGTAGCAAATTGAACCTAATAGCTTTTTTTGATTGTGAGTCATCGTTTTAATTACTTCTGACACATGAGAGTGACAGCCCTGGTCACAGGAGAGGCTCGTGTAGCCCAGCAGCCCATCTGGCAGTACAAATGCCTGGGTGAATGAAAGGACAAACAAAGGAGTTGTGCTCCCATGCAGAGCATTCTTTGGTGCCAACTGACTGGCTTTAACTTTTTGAGCAGAGTCTTCCCTTATTTTTCTTTCCCAAAGGGCCCATCCAAGTTGTGACTGCTGCTGTGGAAGCACCGAGTGTCATCCACAGGACAAATGTCACAATGCAAGCTGCTTCCAGTAGATTAAATAGGACCCTTCAGGTTTTTATTGGTTCTAGCAATGACCTGAGAGGAGAAAAATAATAAATTTTCTGGGAAAATAATGCCAGTTAGTATAAGTGCTTCCAGGTTAGTTCTGCAGAAAGGTCTAGATGGCAGTAAATGTCACCTGGATGAATGTCTCACAGTGGACTTGGAAGTTATTAGGTAGAGCAAGGGTGTGAAAACTCAAAGGGAAGTGACTACTCAAAAGACTGATGGGTCACAAGTTAAACAATAATAGATTAATGCAGGTCTGTTTGTTCTGCTCTCTAGGTTGTAGGAAGTGTTGATGTGTTGGCAATGGTTGTGAAGTAGCTCTGAGAATGGTGAGGTCAGAGTCCTTACTGGAGCTAGAGCCATTTGTCCTATCCTTTTCCTTACCAAAGATTTGGCAACAAATCTTTTCACTACATTTCATGTAGGTAATACATGGGGGATACAGTCTTACACTGAGTTCTTTGGGAGTGGTAAAAAGCTGTGGCTGGAGCTTGAGAGATGAGATGTGCAGTGGTGAGTACTGAGCTGTGGAGGCACTGAGCAGGGTCCTCACCTGGGACACCTCGGCTCAGCCAGACTGAACACTGCATTTCCAGTGAGTCACAGAACAGGCCACTGATGCCTGGGTCATAGACAGTGACAGACACAACTTGAAAGTGATCTGAAGATCATTGTTAGAACATGGATCTGTGTGTTCTTACAAAGTGGCTCAGGTGTGGCCTTTTGCTTCACCTTGAATTGTCTAATAATAAGACTCAATAATGTCAGAATTTTGGACTCTGAATTCCTTGTTCCTTGCAGGTTTAACTAAAGACTAATCAACTGAAGTTTGGTTGTTATTTTTTTTCTCAATAACAGATTCTTGAAAAAGTTGGTGTTTAAACCTCACCCCGAGCCACAGAAGCTTGAATAAAACACATTTTTAATTTAGTACTGGAATAAAGGGTACTAAAGAGAAAGATAAGTAGCAAATTGAACCTAATAGCTTTTTTTGATTGTGAGTCATCGTTTTAATTACTTCTGACACATGAGAGTGACAGCCCTGGTCACAGGAGAGGCTCGTGTAGCCCAGCAGCCCATCTGGCAGTACAAATGCCTGGGTGAATGAAAGGACAAACAAAGGAGTTGTGCTCCCATGCAGAGCATTCTTTGGTGCCAACTGACTGGCTTTAACTTTTTGAGCAGAGTCTTCCCTTATTTTTCTTTCCCAAAGGGCCCATCCAAGTTGTGACTGCTGCTGTGGAAGCACCGAGTGTCATCCACAGGACAAATGTCACAATGCAAGCTGCTTCCAGTAGATTAAATAGGACCCTTCAGGTTTTTATTGGTTCTAGCAATGACCTGAGAGGAGAAAAATAATAAATTTTCTGGGAAAATAATGCCAGTTAGTATAAGTGCTTCCAGGTTAGTTCTGCAGAAAGGTCTAGATGGCAGTAAATGTCACCTGGATGAATGTCTCACAGTGGAGGACTTGGAAGTTATCAGGTAGAGCAAGGGTGTGAAAACTCAAAGGGAAGTGACTACTCAAAAGACTGATGGGTCACAAGTTAAACAATAATAGATTAATGCAGGTCTGTTTGTTCTGCTCTCTAGGTTGTAGGAAGTGTTGATGTGTTGGCAATGGTTGTGAAGTAGCTCTGAGAATGGTGAGGTCAGAGTCCTTACTGGAGCTAGAGCCATTTGTCCTATCCTTTTCCTTACCAAAGATTTGGCAACAAATCTTTTCACTACATTTCATGTAGGTAATACATGGGGGATACAGTCTTACACTGAGTTCTTTGGGAGTGGTAAATCCTGAGAATGGCCTGGGGATGCTGGGATGACAGCCAGCATGACAGGCTGAGCATTGTTGTAGCTCATGGAGCCAGGAAGAGCAGTCACCTATCTTCTGCTGCAAAGAGAGAGGAACTTCCCAAATGCAGAGATGTCTCTGACGTATAAACGAGGTCCACAGACACATGTTTGAAGCAAAAGCTGCTGTAGCTGCACTAGAGGTCATGGTAGGCCAGGAGTTGTAAAATGGAATCCATAAATGTGCTTTAACAGCCTTGATTTAACCTCAGTTTGTTCTGTGGTGACTGTTGGGCTGTGCTGAAGCAGCTGTGGCAGACAGATGTCCTGGAGCACTGATCTCAGAGACAGCAACAAGATGAGGCAGTGCCACTTCAAGCTGTTTCAGCTGAGAATTTTCTGGTTTTGCAGAAAAGCAAAACTATCGATAAATTGCAAGAATTGCTCCTCAGGTGCTAGGATGGTAATTTCAGTAAAAGTGACCCAGCGCCTGCACAGTCAGACTTGTCTGTTATCCAAAAGAAAGGTTGGCTCTAACAGCCAGATGTGGCAGGTGCAGGCTTGTGGGATTCCCTTGTGTGTGTGCTGCAAGTCGATCCATACCCCACAAAACCAGCAGCAGGATGAGGCAGGCCCAGCACAGCAGCGTGTACAGCCTCTAGCACATGCAGTGCAGGGAAGCAGATGGTAATTCTCCAAACCTGAGGGTCCAAAGCTGACTCTGCTGCTCCGTGGATGAGCCTCCACCCTTGGTGTGTAAAGACTGCCTGTGCCTGCTGCTGAGTGACCAGTTGCTGCTCCTCCACCAAAGGGCTCCCCTCCAGCTAGATGGGTTTTCTCAGAAAAGACAGCTGTGTGTTTATCACAGTGTAATGCTGTGTGTCACAAACAGGGGGGTAGCTGGGGAGGGATACAGCAGCCCCCAGCTCCTTCAGCACAAAGTCCCTCCCTGCGTGCTGTGACCTGAGACCAAGGAAACACAGCTCCCATTAGAAGGAGGGTGGAATGTCCCTCCAAGGGGGAGCCCTGTACTGCCCCTGACAGCACAGGGCCCCTTACAAAGCACGAGTGGTGATGTCCCCTGCTCCTCACTGCCAGCATCAGTCACTCCTGTTTCAGGAGGATCCCACTGCCACATATCCTCACAAGCCCATTCTCCTTCACAAACACACTGACACGACCATTGCAGCCTGTACTGCCTGATCACTAATGTTTCAGTTTCTGGGAGCAAGAACCTCGCTGTGGCACTGCCCCCTTGTCACTGTGACTGTTATTTGCACTGGGGAGGGTGGTCAGGTGCCTCCCCATGAGGACAGGCTGAGAATAAAGCAATTCAGTGAAACACAAGCAGTAGCAGAATCACTGACTGATGATGAGCAGGCCTCCCAAGCTCATTCTTTGGGAGATGTGATTTGCTCAGGATGTGCCAGAATGGTGTGCACCTGAGCAGGAGATTCCACATGTCAGCACCGAGACCCCCACCAAACAAGGTGTGTTTCCCCACCATACAAGCATACTGGCATCACCCCTTTTATGAAATATCTGTAGTGGTGTCTGCTGAAAGGCTTTCTTTTCTCTCCAAAGTACAGAAAACTCTGTTTTGTTCATGTCTGTGCTGTGCTGCTGCATGTTTTTCCTGGCTAAGCCTAAATCCTGTGTCACATTTACCATCATTAGTGTAATAATTGGTTTCCAAGACAAGTCAAATCCACACTTGGGGTGTCAGCCCTCCACTGCCTCCCTGCTGACATTCCAGGCCCTGTTGTGGCAGTAGGTGGCATCCCAAGAGCAGGCTAGGTGGCAGGGGAAATTCGGCTGGTAGGATGTTTACAGTGCCATTATTTCATCCCTGGACCAATGCTCCCTGCAGTTACTGGGCTTCCCCTGATGGCATTACCTGTTCCATAAAGCAGATGTGATTCCATTTGATTCTGGAGTACCTTGAGTACTCCAATTCACAGCCTTGCACCAAAGCCAGATCCCTCCTTTCACCAAACTTCTTTTGGACCTGGGACTGGCTCTTCTCTGGTAATTCTGTTCCCTGTAAATCAGATGTTTCTACTCTTGCCACTCTTTGCCCCGGTTACACTCAAATTTCTCAGGTCTGAAAGTTTAGCTGAATCTGTCGCTTCTAAGCTCCTCTCAGGCCAGGTGCTTTTCATTTAGTGCAAAGTGATTTATCAGCCACAGGTGTGCACTTTTCCTGCTTCTTGGGGGCTGCAACTGAGGCAGGTTGGGCCCTGCTGCCTGTGCTATATAACCAGCCCCACAGCAGCTGCTGGCTGTTCTGTTGGAGGTTAAGATGAGCCCAGAACCTTTGAGGAAACTTGGTCATGCTGCTGCTTCTGGGGAAAAAAGATCTAAGAGGAAGCTGAAGAGAAAGGAAGCCTTTTCAGTCTATATTTACAAAGTACTGAAGCAGGTGAGTAAATGTTTCTTTTCTGTAAGAAATTGCTTTGTACATAAAGTAACTTCTGCTTGTTATATGTTAGCATCATAAAGAGCAAGGAAGAAAAAAATCTGGCTTTCTGGAGAGATGGGGAAAGAAAAAACAGTGTAAGTGCAGCTAGAGTAGAGCCCCAGCTGGAGCTTAGAAGTTGAGGGGGTGGATTCTAGGGGTAGTAGAGGTGGATCCAGAGCAGAAAGTGTTTCCCAGAGGGAATGAGCTCTGGTGCTTAGCTCTGCCTGAAGAAGTAATTTCATGCAAGTCAGTACAGTAGAAATATCTGCTTCTGGCCTTGTGAGTAGATGTCTGGTGATTTTTGATGGGGAGATGAGAACATTTTTGGAAGTGGCCATGAATTTTCTAGGCCACTGTTGTCAGCATGAGCCCATAAATAGGACTTGGAGATGGGAGTATTTCCATCCCTCACAGCCATGTTTTTCATGGGGATTGTGAGGAGCCTTCTGCCAGGGCAATCCCAAAACTCCTGCAGCATTATGGGAGCCTATCCTGAGTTTAAAGTGGCCCATGATTTGAAACCCTCAGGGTGGCAGCTCCGGGTGCTTCTGGAGTTGGGGTGCCCTGTCTGGGCTGGGCACCGGAGCTCCCCCCTCTCGGGGTGCTGGGTGTGTGAGTTCGAGCCGTGTCGGTTCCCACCCGGCAGGTGCACCCCGACCTCGCCATCTCCTCCAAGGCCATGAGCATCATGAACTCCTTTGTGAACGACATGCTGGAGCGGCTGGCGGCGGAGGCCTCGCGCCTGGCGCGCTACGGGCGCCGCGCCACGCTGAGCAGCCGCGAGGTGCAGGCGGCCGTGCGCCTGCTGCTGCCCGGGGAGCTGGCCAGGCACGCCGTCTCCGAGGGCACCAAGGCCGTCACCAAGTACACCAGCAGCAAGTGACCGCCCGGGCCCCGGGAGACCAGCCCTGCAGGACGAGTGCTTGGTCTCACTCAGCTGAAAAAGCAAAGCCTCATGTTGTCTGCCTGTGAATAAAAAATGCATAGATATACAGATCGTGTCTTTGATCTTTGCATCACAAATTGTGAGGCAGTTTAAACTGTGGCCATGGGGATTGTCTGGGAGGGCTGGAAGACAATCAAAGCTGTTCTTTGGAAACAACCATGTGCAACTAGGAGCAGGGAACCCAGGGTATGCCTGGGCAAAGCTGGGGTCATTGTGGGAAGCGTAGTGGGTTCTCTGCAGTTCTCCAAACTCCTTACTGTGGCTTTCAGATTCCTGTCTGCTAAAAACTTCTGCTGCCTTTGACTCTCCTGCTGTTCTTCAACTGCTTTCTAACTGTGGTGGGTCTTTCTGCCCAAGTTAGCATTTTATACTGATCAGAGTAGATGCTAAATCTCCCTGGGTCAATAGGATGAAATTAGCACTGGGTAAAGGGTTCTTTTAATGTTTATAAACTATTTTCAAAGCTGTTGTTCTTTGTTTGGTTGGGATTTTTTTTTTCTGGTGGGCTGTGGGAATAAGAGTTTTTCCTTGTTAGCTGTTCTTGTGTATTGTTTTGTTATTGCTGTTGTTTAATTTGGGTCTTTGTTGGTTTTGTGGGGTTTTTTTTCTTGTGGGGGTTTTTTTTTCCTTCTGGTGAAAACTTTCTCCTTTTCTGGGATAGGCAGAACTGAAGAAAAATAAGCTTCACTGATAGGAAAAACAAACTGTTTTCTTTCTAGACACATGGTCATTGTTTCTACTTGCTTCCAGTGTCTTTAAAGACAACTTTATCTTGCAGGGCTCTAAACTGGGCTAGGACTGGGCTGGTGTTCTGCCTTGGACCATCATATTCATGATGGGCCCTCACTGCCTTTCCTTGTATCCCCTTGTATCCTGCTTCCTACAGGAGGGATCCAGGGCCCTGAAGGGAGCACGGGCCCTCTTTTTCTGTGGAGACTGGGCAACCCATAGGGCTGAGTGTTGTGCAGAGCCACGACCCTGTGGTGGGTGGCTTGGCTGCCCTGTAAGCACAGCACCTTCCCGGGGTGTGGGGGGCTGTCCTGGGTTCCTGCAGAGAGGTGCTGCCTCAGGGTTTGGGGTGGAGTGAAGAAAACACATGGTCCATGTCCTGGGAGGAGATTATGGAACAATTTCAGTTGAAAGGGACCTTAAGGCCCATCCATGTCCACCTCCCTGCCACAGGGACACCTTCTACTAGACCAGGTTGCTCCAAGCCCTGTCCAGCCTGGCTTTGGATGCTTGGGCATCCAACTTCTCTGGACAATCTGTTGCAGTGCCTTTTGTCAGCTTCAGGCTGGGGCTTGATGCCTGGTGCTAATGTCTTATCTTCACAGGCCTTATCAGGATAGGAGTACCAGGAGGAGCCAGAGCTGTGTTAAGTTTCAAGGTGACAGTAAACAGGGCAGTCCTGGATTTCCCCAGCCTGAGAGGTGCTGCTGAGTCTCATGAGGTGTGACAGATGCTGATCTCTCATGGGGGCCAGCCTGGGTGTATGTGATGCTCCTAGGGAGTGCACAGGAGGCAGCAGCACTGAGCATCTCCCCTTCAGCTCCATCCCTGCTGCAACAGAGTGGGGCTGGCTGGGGAGAGAGCCAAGGGCTGTGCTGGGTGCTCTGTTTCCTTTTGACAGCACTGAAGAGCGATCTCTTTGTTGTGTCTGGCCAGCAAGCCAGAGCTGGACTTGAGCAGAGGTGTGGGCTGCAGCTCTTTTCCTGCCTCTAGCCCTTGTGGTGGCTGTGTTGTGGGGACAGGCTGTGTGGCTGGCACTGGGGGCAGAGAGCTGTGGGGATGCTCAGCTGCATGCATGGGTTGGGGGCAGCCCAGCCAGAGGGGGAGGCTGAGCAGGTGAGCAGCTCATCTGGCTGGGTCTGTTCTGCTGCCAGGTGTCTGTGCTGGAGTTCTGATCCACCTAAGGTGAGGAGAGGCAGGTTTTGCCTTGATCCATGATTGTGGAAAGGAACTAGGTTCTAAACATACCTGCAAGTGAGATTAAAACATAAATGAGGTTAGATGTTGGAAAACAAAGCGATAATTAAACTTTTTTTTAATTAAGAGAGAAAAGCAAAGAAAATAGAAAATACGGAAAATGCCAAGAATAATTGTGAAAAGCACAGGAAAGGGGTGACCACTGCCGCAGGTCCAGAGCTGGCTTATGGAGTGCAATGGGGGAGATCTGTGCTGGGTGTGATGGGTCTTTGCCTGGTGAGCTCCCTCTGAGAGCCGGCGGCAAGCCAGGGAGGGAGCAGGGCCACGGCAGCCAGGCCAGCAGCGTGGGGCGTGAGAAGCCTCCTAGGAGCAGCCAGGACGGTTAAGGACAACAAAGACTTCGACGTTTTGTAGATTTTGCAGCCCCTGTGGCAAGTTAGGAACGTGGTTACAGAGAGTGCTGAAAGGGCCAAGGTCACAGCCGCCTCCTGTCAACAGCAGGCGTGTGGAGATCTTCATCTTCGCTTGCTAAAATGTCATTAGCAGCTCCTTAGTATCTGGTGAAGTTTGCCTGATGTATCAAAAGTTTATCACTTGTTTGCCTGATGTGTCACCTACAAGCCCTTTTAATGACCCGTAAAGGGGGTGCCTCATTTTCTAGAACGAACCAGTTTCTGTTGGTGGTTGAGGCAGCTCAAAACTTTAACTTACAGACCTTTATCTCTGAGGAGGCAGTGGAGAAACACTCCTTACTTTTGACCCGTTCCCCGCAGCTCGTTCCCGTTTCAGCAGCTCTCGGGATGTGCTCTCGGAGGGATGGGTGGCAGCGCCGAGGAGCAGCGCGGAGCTGCAGTTCTCCTCCTGCCCTGGAGATGGGTCTGTCTGCCTGCCGGATCTCGGCTCCTGCTCTGCCCTGCCGCAGACCCCGCTGCCAGCTCGGAGCAGGTGCCCGGCACCGTGCCCCTCCGCGGCCGGTGCCCGTGCGGACAGGGCGCTGCTTCATGAGAGGTGAGAGGCTGTCTCCTGCCCGTGTCTGACAGAGCATCGAGCACCGGCTGAGCCCTGAGTCGGGATTTAAAGGTGTGCGTGCTTGGTTCCTCAGCTCTCCGCTTTTGCATCCCGCTTCGTGTCACATCCCCCTCTTCCCCCACCGCAGCAAAGACCTGAAGAATGGAGTTGGACCTTGGGCTCTGCTCTCGCTAGATCCCTGCACGTCCTCAGAGATGTGACAGGTGGTGCAGACGCACGGAGGGGCAGGAGGAGGAGGAGGCTGCTCTTGGAAGGAGGCAGTTCTGCGCTGACCCTGCCCACACTGTCCCTTTCCCGTTCCCCGTGTCAGGGGCTCATCTCTCGCCGTGCAGAAATGTGCTGCTCGTGTCCCCACAGAGCGTCCCGGGATGCTGCACAGGATGTCACACAGGGCTGGCTTTTCCTGAGGGCTCACCCCGCGTTCAGCTGATGAGCTTTGCTGAGAGCCATGCCTCAGCTCAGCTGCTTTCAGACCGGGCTTGTGGCTCCTGTGAGATGTGGGCAAAGCTGCTTTTAGGCTCTGCTGCCCCGTGACAGGGCACTGCTCACTGAGAACAAGTCAGAAGTACTCAGGTCACACTAAAAACAAAGCTTGCAGCCTGTGCAGGCTCTCTTCCAAAGTGTCCTGGGCCTGCCTTGCTCCACGAGAGTCTTTGTCCAGGTCTGCTTATGTCTTCACAGTCTCACAGCAAGTTTTTAGTGCTGCAACACTGCATCACTGTCTTGTTGCATGTCCCTGGCCCCATGTCTACGTTCTGACTAAGCTATGCATGTCTGTGGGATAGAAACAATTTATTTTTTCTTTGTCATTTCTTCAACCTCTCAAAAAGAGCACTATAGTGTTGGATGAGTCTTCATGAAAACATCACCAGTGCTGTGCTGTTTTCTGTTCTCTAAGAGAGCAATGGCTTAGGAGCATGTGCTTTCTCTCACATGGAGAAGGACCAGGAGGCAGAGCATCCCTGAGGTCTGTTAGGAGCGGAGCAGGTTTGAGGGGAGGGAGCTTTTTGGGCAGTGGAGGCTGGCAGCAGTGTGCAGACCTGTGTGTGTTCTTGTGCCCATGCGTGTCCCTTGGCAGCCGTGCTGCCAGGTGGTGCTCCGGTGTCTCATTAGACACTGCTCCAAACAGCAGAGGAGCAGCTCCGCACAGAGAGGAAAATGAGCTGTGATGGATAGCCCTGGTGATGCCAAAGCGGTTAAAATATGAACTCTGATGTGCAGCCGGGGTTCCAGCACGGACTCATCCTCTCTGAGCTCAGCTGCTCGTGTGTGGGGATGGGGCTGCTCTGTGTCACTTCTCTGCTTAGTCTGAGTGCTGGCAGCTTGTGGTGGCCTTGGAGTCCCTGCGTGGAGGAAAGGAGAGGGGGATGCTCAAAGGTCAGGCAGGCACTCCCCGTCACCAGTGCACTGCTGCCTGAAGCTCTGTCACCCCTGATGCTGCCAGGGCTGTAATGGGACTGAGCGTCCGCGGCATCCTTGGAGCTGTCTCTACCCGTGTTCTCCCCAGCAAGTGCTGCTACAAGGAGTTTGTTTCCTTGGGTTTTTTCTCTCTTTTCATGCTCTGTGTGCTCTGGATTCCTACAATAATGCTGCCTTCTTCATCTCCTCTGCTCAGGATTGTGCCTCAGGGTGTGGGAGGTATTCAGACTAAGTGAAAAAGTAAGTCTTATGTTGTAACCATAACTTACAGGGCCATGTAAAGGGAGTCAGGAGGCATCCTTGTCCTCATCCTTGTCCCCTCCCTTGTAGCCCTGCATTACCTGATGCCAAACTGGGGAGAGACAGGAAGACCTGCTCTCTGGTGAGGTGCTCCCTGACGTGGAGCCCTGGGGCTGACTCGCAGTGTCCCTGGTGCCTGGAAGCTGCTCTGGGGCTGGAGGTCACTGGGATGGGGACAAAAGGCATATAAGCAATGTGTGCTGGCCTGGGGTCAAGACAGGTACCAGTCGTGGCCTCTGAGGAAGAGGAGGAGGATGCTTCCCTGTGGCCCCATGCAGGGTGTGGGGCTGGGGAAGAGGATGACATGGGCAGAGTGGCCCCATGAGGAATGGCTGCTGCAGGCCACACGCCGTTTTCCCATTAGTGAGTGTTTAGTTCAGCGTTTTAAATAATTGTGTCCTCGGAATGATATTTAAAATCCATTTGGGAGGCAATGAGGCGGGAAAGTGCCTGTGCCATTGTGATGACGCTGCGCAGGCCGTGCCACACATGCATATTACAAACTCGTTACAGGCTCTTTTCCACGCATGCTGCTCCCTCCCCACAACCTCCTTCTGAGGCTCTGAGTGCATCTCCCCCACCATGGCTGCAGTGCTTGGCCCTATGGGACATTTCTGTGACAAGACACCATGGTGTCCTGTGGGGTGAGGGATAAGGCACAGCCAGGTCGTGGCACCTGGCTGCTGTCCATGGCAATGGAGGTGTGTGAGCCACGCCTGGTGATGGAACTGTTGTTCAGGTGTCCTGGCCTTCACCTGTGGTCACTTTCTGACCCTTGGACTTGTGTCACTGCAGCTTCCTGACCCTGAAGCCCCAGGGCTTTCAGCTGGGGTGCTCTGGGCACTGCTGGAGGAGCTGTGTCAGCTGTCCTGGGCTGGCTCTGAAGCTGAGGACAAGCCTGTGCTCCTGAATGTCTGTGGAAGAGGCACGAGCTGGAGGGACTGGGTGTAAGGGAGCTGATGGAGCAGCAGCAGCCTCAGCAGTGGTGCTGTGGGTGCTGGTTAGTGGCTGGCTGGCAGAGTGGCCTTGCTGCTCTTTCTGTCTCTCTCTGACTGCTGTGTGGGCACTCTCTGTGCCCCCTCAAGCCATGCAGGATGGAAATCCTGTGTGGGAGGTCAAGGCAGTGTTCAGTCCTCATCCTCTCCCTCCTGATCATGTTCAGGCCCTCTAGCCAGGCTCTCCTGGCTGTGGTTTTTCTCAGTGCTACCTTGTGGCCAAACACTAGTGGGGTGACCTTTCCTGGATGGCCTTGGGTGCAGGAACAGTGCTCAGTGCCAGGGGCTAGTTTGAGATTCTTTTCCCAAGCCCATAGCTGTGTGAAAATGATGGCATTGGTTCCAGGAACAGCACAAGTTGTAAAGACAGGTTGGAGGGGAACTAAGGGTTCTTAGTTTGTCCTTTCCCTCACCTCTCAGGGAATGCAGACCTCCTGTACCCAAAGCTGCCCAAGTCAGGGCTGTTGCTCTGAGCCCCTCGCCTGGCTGGAGGAGACTCTGAAGCTCGAGTGTGGATTCCAGAGTGGAGCTGGAGACACAGCCACTGCATCCCTCGGGAGAACAGTGTACTCCCAGCCCAGCACCAGGGGGCTGCTGCAGTGCTCACTGGCACAGAGCAGCTGTGCTGTGGCAATGGGAGTGCTTGGCATGATCCCAATCCTGGGACTGGTTCGTGGCCCCTCTTCAGCTTCAAGGTTCTTACATAACTATTTTCTCTGCTCTGGAAACAGCTGCCAAAAGGAACACAAGCAAAGTCTGACTCGTGTTTGACCAGCACCTCCAGCCACACCACAAAGAACTTGATTTCAGTTTGGGGCCAATGTGACAGTGTTGTACAAGCTGTTTTTCTCAGGGCTCACCTCTCTGCCCTTCTGTATCCTGCAGCCTTTCTGCCCTGGGGAAGGGGCTGATTCCCAGAGCAGTGTGTGGTGCTTGTGAGGGTCTTTTGGTCCCTGTGAGCTGCCTGTGGAGAAGAGCTCTCTCCTTAGTACTTCATGACTTCTCACCCTGAGTCTGATCCAGGCCTTTCCCAAGCTCGCCCTCACCACCCACCTCCCTGCCGTGGTTGTCCCCACCTTGCTCTCCTCTTTCTCACTGGGGGCACTGTGTGGAGCAGGGGCTCTTTGCAGAGCCAACAAGCACAAAGAGCATTCCCAGGCTGCCTGCCACCCCTCTCCTGTGCCTAGTCCGTGCTGGTGATTGCACCTAGCAGCTGAAAATAAGCTCTTGGAAGAAGGGGAGGTGGTGATGAGCAGCTGCCAAGCCAGGCTATTTATACTGGGTGATTCAGGCCCCTGCCTGAGTCCAGCCAGATGCAGGGGAGCTGGAACCCAGGAGCAATCTGCAAAGGACAAACCCTTGAACGAGAGGGTCTTTGCTGTAATAGCTCATTTACTGTGTGGCTCAGACTTCTCTGGCTAGTTGCCTGTGATGGACTGCACCTCCCCTCCCCGCGCTGCCCCTCAGCGCTCGCTGCAGCCCGCTCCCTGGAAGGATTCTTGCAGTGTGAGGTCCCACCACAGTGAGCACAGCCTGAGCCCAGGTGGCTGGGGACAGCAGCACAGCCGCCTGGAGCCCCTGGAGTGCCGGGATCTGCTGGTGCAGAATGCGCTCTTCACTGGAGACCTGGACATGTTGCAGAAATATTTCACCAAGGGCGCGGCCGTCAATCTCATCATTGAGACCAGGGGCGATGTGCTGCGCTGGACCAGCAGCAAACGTGGTGGGTATGGGGGACTGCCACATGGGGGGATAGAAAATGCCCAGGATGGGCTCCAAGGAGAGGGCTCAGGCACCTGAGAAAAATATTGAAAGGAATCCCCAGTGGTGAAGAAGGTCTTGAGAAGAACAGCTTTAGTGTGAGGCAGGAACTTTCCAAGGCTGCACAAGAAGAAGTAGCAGGCTTGTTGAAGGTGGCATGAGGCAGATCTACTGGGAAATAATGAGAATAGAGGCCCTGGAAGAGTTGCTGGAGAAGCACATCCTCAGGGCTGTCCTGTTAGAGATTGCTGGCATGGATGTGAAATACATGTGAGGTGGGGAGTGTGCATGGGCGGAGAGGCATCAGAATACTGCTCTGTTCCATGACATAGATTTGACAAGGGGAGCAGAAATCCAGTGTATGAGAAAGATGGTGGAAGCAAACTTTCCTCAGTGACAGGAGGTAGGAGCTGATCATTCTTGGTGCTTCTTTCTGTCTGTACATCTCACTTGTCCATCTCTAGCTTGTCCAGGCACATCCTGGGGCTTCCACGCTCTCTGGTCCCTTTTACTTAGCTTCTCGTCAGCATTGTCCATGAGCTCCTCAGTAAGAATGTAGCTGCTGTGTTTGAGGCAGGGGTGTGCTGGGCAGCCTGGATGTGCCCTTGTTCTTCTGCTGTCAAGCAGTGATGTGGTGCAGGCAGACTCCAGAATTTAAGAGCACCAAGTGGGGAAGGCCTTTAGCTGTTTTTGTCCTGGTTTAGGGCAAATTTGGGAAAGAGCTTCCTCACCAGAAGGCTGGTGGCAAAAGCCTCTCATCTGAGAATGGAAGAGCTGTTGATGCAGTTGCTTTCCCAGAGGAGCAAGGCAAATGTCCTGGTGCTTAGACAGACAGCGTTTTGTGGGGATCCACTCCAGCAAGAGACAAATAGGGTGTGTGGGCTTGCCAATGCACATGCTGCTACTTGTGAGGGGTGAAGATTATTCACTGAGTTGCAAGATTTGTATGAACCAGGTTTTGAATTGTTACAGTCTACTTAGGAATGAAACCACCAAAGGTATTACTTTCCATGTAAGTGAGATAATTTGTCAGTAAAATACGGATTGGGTGTGGGAACTCCTGTCTTGTGCCAGGCTGGCAGACACTGGAGCAGCCCGTCTCTCTACTGGTAAAGGTTTGTGCCCCAGAGAAAATGGAACAATGTAAAACAACCTCATGTAGAAATTTCTATGATCAACAAAGTTTCAAGACATGAAAAAACCCAACCAAACAAGATCATTCACCAAGAACAAAGCAAAAATGTGCTGCTAAATTTGTCTGATAAGAATAGAGAACAAAAACCAAACCAAACCTTCAAGCTACCTGAAGCTTGTCTCTGTATCTCACTGACCGTGTAGGGACAGGTTCCTAGAACTCAGTGACCTTAGCAGTAGGTTCCAGCGACCTTGTCTTTCCCAGATCACCTCGCTGGTATTTTAAGGTGCCCAGAGGAAGTGTAAACTGTTTGGTGTCACTGATACCTTACACCACTTCCTGCCTCCCTCGTGCATGACTGGGAACCTCAGGCTCCCATGGGATACCTGCTTACATCCTTGGGTAAATAGAGGGTCCCATCAGGTGAGAACGTCTGCCACGGGCTTTCCTTTCTTTACCTTTTTGTAGGCTACATTTCAGTTAGACAAGGTGAAGTTTGCACACACAGAGCAAACTGGATACTGTCAGCAGAGAACTTGCTCATTTATTTTCATTACTGAGAAGGGTAAAGTTCCCTGTCTTACACTCTGCTCTGGTCCTCTGGTAATTGTTGCTTGGTGGTCTGTTGGGGTCACTTAACTGGTGTTTAGCTGCATGATCTGAGTAATTCCATGACACAGAATTAAAGCGGGCTCTACCAGCCTCCCGTGCAGTTTGACATGCTCTCCAGATCACATGGTGTGAACAATATGTGCACGGTGCTAGTGCCACGTGAGCAGGGCATGCTCTTCTGTGACCGAGGCGGGAGGGCTGGCTGTGTGAGCCAAGTGGGGTCAGAGGAAAACACCAGCTCAGGTGGCAGCACTGCAGTGAGCAGCCCAGCCAGGGGAGTGGCTGAGCACTGAAAGGGAGCACTAAAGCTATGCAGGGGCTCTGTGCAAGGCTGGATAGCAAGAAAAAGGAGGAGGTGGGAAGGGCCTAAAGCGTAATTACCTCAAATTTTTCCCATCTTTGTACCTGTTTCAACCATTTATTTGGCTTTGATTAAAAACAGCTGTCTTGTAGCTTGTTTAAAAATCTTTCTAGTGCCAATGGCTCAGGGGCAACTGGTAGATGGGTGTGCGTTGCTGGAGACGTGTGTGGAGCCGAGGGATGAACAAAGGCATGGAGAGGTGTGTGGAGCTGCTGAGGTCATGCTCTTGTGGTCTGGGCAACATGCTGAGTAGGCATGAAACCATTTCCCTCTCTGTTGTCCTAGTGATGTCTCATCCCCATTTCTACCCTTCAAGCTCCCTGCCCTTCCTGAAGGTTTTCCCTTCACAGCAGGGCACTGCTGAGGTACTGCTGCCCGAGTGGAGAGCCTTTATCAGCCTCTTGGCCCCAGCATTTGGTCACAAGGTTTCCCAGAATAGAACAGCTGAGACTTGAGCTGTGCCCAGGCGGAGCCAAAGCGAGGGGGGTGATGTGTTCCCCCTCCCTGTGGAACGCCCTGGGCTGGCTGGCAGGCAGGCTCTCGGCCCAAGCACAGGCTGCTGGTGGGGCTGTGCCTCAGAGCCTGGCTGGGGTGCACCGGCAGGTCCTGTCCTGGTCTCTGAGGAGAGCCTGGCTGGGCGTTATGGGCAGCGTCACGGGCGGAGGAGACGGGAGCCGGGAGCCCATCCGCACACGGCAGGCACACGGCCCTGCCCAGGTGTTCTGGCAGGCCCTGCTGGCTGGGGACCAGGGCACTGTAGCCAAGATCCTCAGGGAGCCTCAGAACAACCTGAGCCCCAGTGCTGTGTTTGACACCAGCGACCTGGAAGAGTGGAAGAACTACCGCTTCAACCCCCGCGGGCTGAGTACGGGGAGCAGCTGTGCTGTGTGCCGTGGGGCTCAGCCCGTGCTGTGTGCCGTGGGGCTCAGCCCGTGCTGTGTGCCGTGGGGCTCAGCCCGTGCTGTGTGCTGTGGGGCTCAGCTGCTGCTGGGGTTCTGTGTTATGGGTGCTCCTTGGCTTGCAGAGTGGTGGGAACGGCACCAAGAGCTTGGGGATGTGGTCAGGTTCTCCTGTGCTCCTTGTGGAAATGGGTTCCTGTTCCTGAGAGCACAGGGTGCATCCAGGAAAGCTGGTCCCTCCCACAGGGGTTGTTTAAGTGCTTGGGAGCTGCCCTGTGTGCAGCCGGCTCTGCGCTGTGGGCTCCCACTGCGGGTTGTGCCAGACTGCCACAACATGAGTCAGGTCTTTGAGACAGTGCAGGTTGAACCTGGCCCTGGGAAACACAGATGACATCCTGCCTCTGCAAGAAGGAGCTGGGAGGATGTAGTGTGGAACACACCATGCAGTCTGGGATGTCCTCCAGCTCAGTCTGGATAGGCAGCAAGAGGCACAGTTTAAGGAGCTTTTTCCTGTAGCATCTGCAGGCTGTTAGCCAGCAGAAAGCACCGGCTCAGCGGTGGTTTGTGCTTGGTCAGCATTTTTGAGAGCTGGCACATTTCAGCCCCTTGCTCTCTCCTAGGTTCTAGATGTCCAGCTCTGCTGTAGCTTGTTGTTTGCATCCTGCTCAGGGCTTGAGTCCCCTGTGTGTGTGGCAGTGGGTTCTGACACCTCTCTACTGCCTGGTCCTCATGTTTGTGGTGCTACACACATGGTGTTTGGCCCAGCCACCTCACTGCCATCAGCCCTGCTCATGCCCCAGGTGCCCCTGACAAGAGAAACCCCTGTACCCCCCGAGCCACAGGTGAGGGGCACGCAGCCCAGACCAGCCTCTGCTGCGGGCTGCTGGTCCTGGAGCTCCCTGTCTGCACGGCTCTGTGGCCTGGGAGCCTTCCAGGGATCTCCGCCTTTGGGGCCAGCCCGGATGCAGGGATCTTGCAGGGAAAGGACTGGATGTCCCTTGAGGGGAAACACAGGTCTGTCAGGGGGCTGCACCTCAGGTGCTTCACGGAAAAGGGCAGGTGCTTGTGCACCGCGGCTCCCTGACCCCTCTTCCCCTGCAGGACTGTGGTCGCTGAGCTACGAGCAGGAGCTGACCACGCCGCTGCACATCACGGCGGGCCGGGGCTACGCGGAGTGCGTGCGGCTGCTGCTGCGGCGCGGCGCGGCCGTGGACGCGGCCCCGGGCGGGCGCACCGCGCTGCACGCCGCCTGCGCGGCCGCCAGCGCCGCCTGCGTGCGCCTGCTGCTCGCCGCCGGAGCCGACCCCGAGGCCGTCTCCGAGGATGGCCACCGGCCCCTGCACCTCTGCAGGAGCTCCGACTCCATCGAGTGAGTCCTGCCGCCGGGCCGAGCCCGATCCCGAGTAGGAGCGGTCCCTCCTCACCCCTGGAGGGGGGTCGGTGGGTGCAGAATGGGGCTGGCCTTGTGCCTGCTCCTGGACCGGGATCACCTCTGGGTCCAGCAGGTGACTGCAGGCCCGTGTCCTTAGCAGATGCAGCTGAGGAGCCAGTGGTCTCGCTGTAATGTTCAGGGCGTTCCTGTGCGGATCCACTGAGCATGCCAGCAGGCACCAGGTGTGACAACACTTAAGAGGTCTGTGCAGAGTTAGCTGGAATTAGGCTGACAGCATCTCTGCTCACCAGTCATCCTGGCTTAAAAACTCTGCTCCAGGGCATGAGGAGCAGGGATTTTTGGACTCTGGGGAAAAGCAGGGGTGGTACAGATGTGGGAGCTGGGAGGTGGAGATGAGGAATGGTCAGCAAGTCTCCTCGGCCCACACAGGTGTGTCCAGCAGCTGCTGCAGCGTGGTGCCAGCGTGAACAGTCAGACGGAGGAGGAGATGGACACAGCCCTGCATGTGGCAGCACGGCACGGCCTGGCAGAGCACGTCCAGCTGCTTCTGCACCACGGGGCTGAAGTGGAGGTGAGGAACAAGGAGGGGCAAACACCGCTGAATGCTGCCTGTGCTCAGCAGCATCAGCCCCAGGACATGGACCGCTACTACCGAGTCTGCCAGCTGCTGGTGCAGAGCGGTGCCAGGATCAACGCCGAGGATCGGGACCGGCAGCACCCGCTGCACCTGGCCTGCAAGAATGCCAACGCTCAGATCGCAGAGCTGCTGCTGGCCCACGGCGCCAACGTCAATGTCATGAACTACGGCGGCAACACGGCCCTGCACAACATCCTGCAAGTGGCCGCCTACAAGCGGGAGCACCGCCCCGAGCTGGTGGTGCGAGCGCTGCTCAACCACGGAGCCGTCCGCATCTGGCCGGGCTCCCTCCTCAAGGTGCGGGCACTGTGCGGGAGGGGAAGGCTGTGAGCAGCACCAGGGCCCCCGCGGGCCCTCCTGTCACAGCAGGGCTTGTTCCAAGGCAGCCTGTTCGCTGTCCTGCCCTGCTCTGCCCAGGGCCTGGGAAGGGACAACTGGCATTATTGGTACGGGAATCCCTGATGCCTCCTCCTGGAGTGTGGTTTGCTGTAGTACTCTCCTGCTTGTCTGCTAAGCTGTGTGGACAGCACTCACCCAGTTTTCATCATTACTTGCTCTGGAAATTGTTGGTCCTTTTCCTCTGGAGGTGTTTCTTCTCAGGGGCACACCTCCAGCTCCTGCTGTCTCTGCAAGACAGCCGCAGACAAAGGGTTAATTTCCTGTCTTAATTCCTGAGCACTGCAATAATTACCCAGCCCGGAGATCAGCAGATTGCTCTCCCCTTTGGGAAAATACAGGAAAATCAACAATTAACACTAATTAATCTCCTATTAACGCCAGATAATGAGGATCACTGGTACAGCCAGAATAGACTCTGACAGCTACTGCTGGCCTGGGCCATGGGGAGTGGCAGCCCGGAGCCAGGGAAATCTGCCTCTGTGCGGCTTTGCCTGGGTGGGGTGCTCTCCAAAGGCTGCACTGTTGCTAGGTACACGGCACTGGTGTGTCACCTGCACCTACACCAATGTGGGACACACCAGAGGTGTTGTACAAATACGTGTGAAGTCCTCTGCGGTTCTGTGCCACTCTTGGCATGGCCACAGCACTGCTCTGGACACAGGTACAGCTGTCTCTGCAGCTGTGCACCAAAGAGGCACAATCCTGCATCCCTGAGACCCCAGTGTGGCCCTCAAAAGAGGCATGGTGTGCTGTGCTCTGTCTGATCACAAAATGAATGCCAGTCTCTGCCCTGGAATGGCTCGTGCTCTGACTGCTGAAATGGGAGGTAAGGAGTCTGGTGTCAGCCAGAGTGTTGGTGTTTATGAGCTCCTTGCAGCAGTGAAGCTGATGGAGATCATCTCCCCAGCCATGCACGATGGTCCCTGTGTCTGAGGAGGAGCTGTGGGTTGTGCTGAAGGCAGCCAAGCTGTGCATGTTGAGTGATGGCTTAGCCCTCCTCTTTGCAAGGAGGGACACTCTGGTGCTTCATACCTGCAGTGGTTTTTCTCTCCTGGGTCAGAATGGGGGAAGGACAGGAGTTCACCAGATTTACTACATCTGGATCAAGCAGTGCTTTAGGAGGTGACAGTGGGGCTTGCAGGATCTTGCCAAATGATGGTGATCACCTGCTCTTGATGCCTTAAGTTTTAGCTTCCATATTTTCCGGATTCTGTACTGCACACTAGTATGTAACTGAATTTCATATAAAGTGTTAGCAAGCTCTCTTCGCAGCTCAGTCACACAAACCCATCCTTTTCCAGCCCCAGAAGCAAGGACACCATTCCAGCTTCAGGCCCAAAGAGTGTAAACAACCATGAATTGAGGAGAGCAAACTGGAAGGATGGGAGTGCATAACCTGAAGCTGTAATTGGACAATTAACCCCAATATGTAAATGGACCAAAACTTATAAACATATGACAACTGGTGACTTGGAGTCCATCTTGGGTGTAGCCTCAGCCAGGTTCTTGTACTGCCCGAGGTGTATCCTTTGAAGGCCTTTTCAATCAATCCCTACTTTACTCCTTTAGCACTGTCCAGCCCGTGTTCCAGGTGGCCTCTCAAGGCATCTGTCTCTCCCTGGCCAGGTGCTGCGGTGCTGCCACAGCTGCCCGCGTGTCATCGAGGTGCTGGTGAACAGCTACAGCCACGTGCGTGTCTCCGAGGACTGGCTGGCAGCGGTTCCAGCAGAGGTGGTGCAGGTGAGGGAGCAGATGCCAGCTGCTGCTGGGGAACACGTGCCCAGGTTCTGGGGGGCTGCTGGGGCACCCAGACCTGGATGGGGTTGGGTGGAGCTGGGGCTGGCCGGGGGGTTGCAGGCACAGGGATGGTGCTGCTGGGGGCAGGGAGGGTGCTCCATTGTGAGGCAAGTGGATGTTGGTTCTACCTCTGGTCCCAGGGTGATATCTCCAGCTTTGCATGCCTCTGGTCCTTTCTTCTCTCTGTAGAAATACCCCTGTTTCTACCAGTCACTTTTCTCCCTGGGGCACAGACCTCGCTCCTTGCAGCACCTGGCTCGCTGCACACTCAGGACCCTCCTGGAGGGCCGGCTGCTTCTGGTCCTGTCCCAGCTGCATCTGCCAAGTGCCCTGCACCAGTTCCTGCTGCTCGGCTTCGAGGACGTTCTCTACTAGGGGTGGCAGTTCCAGTCCTGCTGTGCCTCTCTGTGCAGGTGTTCCACCTCTGCCAATGCAGTCTGTGCTTTTGCAGCTACCCCCTTCCCCTCACCCACTCCTGCCTGGCCACATCAGCCCCCTGTGCCAAGCCTGCTGCTGTGTCCCAGTCCCAAGCAGCCTTGTGCTCTGCATCACGCACCTGTTTTGGAGTGTTCTGTTTGTCCATACTAATCCAGACAGACCCCAGACTAACAAAAGGAGGCATGGGAATTAGGGAACTTTGTGGTACAAGGAGCAAAGACACTGCATGGATCACAGGCTTAGTAGTAGGGTACCAGTTTCCCTATCCCAAATCCAGATACTCTAGCCTGTACTAGGCAACTCTGGTGCCCTCGATGATTGCTGTGGTCCTGTCTTTGGTCAAGTTGCTTGGTCTGTACCCAAAGGTGTTTGGAATAAATCCTGTTCTTTATACTCATCTGAGCATGGCTTCTTCATTTCTTTGAAGGCTGTCCTGACAGAGCTCACCTGACATGCCATGGGTGGTGGCATTTGCACTCAGACCTGTGCACCCACCTGTTTTTTATTGGGAAATGTGTGGTGGCTGTTCCAATCAAACCATTCCATGAAGGTACAATGTCTGGGTTACCTGGCTCAGGAGCCTGGGGCAGGCTGGCTGTGCTTGTGCAGCACTGAGGACCTCGCTGCTGGTGAGAAGGAAAGTGTCCTGGGACTGCTGCTCCCCTGGGCACAGAGCAGCCAGCACCAGAACCCTGCAGGGTCCCACTGCAGCCTGGGCTGCACCACAGCCTTGGCAAGGTGAAGGGAAATGTTTTATCCTGAGACATAAGACACACTTATGATGAAAAGGAAGCATTATCATCCTTCAAAGATCTGCTGTAAGCAAGCTCCATTACTGCCTCTGGCTCAAGGAATGCCCTGAGCACCACAGCTGTGGCTGGCACAGGTACCCAGGGCAGCAGGTGCCTCCTCTTGCTGTATTTGCTCTGCCTGGCCTCTCTCCACGGCCACGGCGACAGTGGGACCCTGCAACATGCAGCTCTGAAGAAAAGGCTGTGTGGCAGACCCAGTGGTGCTCTCTGTTCCTGCCTCTCCGGGCACACGGGCTGTAGCTCTGAGCCCTCAGCCCTGCTGCTCTGAGGATGGGAGCCCAAAGCCACGCTGAGAGGTGGATGGTGCTGCTCCTGATCGTGCACTGCTGATGTGCCACAGCAGGGATGCTAGCAGGGTACAGCAGGGCTGTGTTCATGTGCCACAGGTGCACACAAGGTGCCTGGAAAGCACTTGTGCCTGCCTTTATGTAGGTGCTATTGCATAGAGATGCTATATCTCAGGATATGTGCTTTATGACACACAGGGGCAGAGAGGTGAGGTGTTGGCTTGGGGTGACCACAATGATCTGCAAAACTGGGATGAAGTGTACAGGAGAGCCAAAGGTTTTAAAATACACGGACGATGGCCTGCCCTCTCCCCATGGACCAGTGTGCATTTCCCTTGCACCAGTGTAGGAACGGAGTCTGAAGTTGCTTCCTTCCTGCTGGCTGAACCAGCTTGTCTGCTCAGGTCATCTGTGCATGTGACAAGGGCCAGTGATCTTGTTCCCAAAGTCTAATTACCACTTTAGAGAGTTCATTTTTAGCCAGGTGATGTCTGTGAGCAAAGGAGGAACAGAAACAGGAAGGTCTGTCCTTTTGGGTGGCAGCACAGTCTGGGATTGCCTTGGCCTGACCTGATGTCCTGGTCTGAAGGCAGCCTGCAGAGCAGCACAGCTGGAGAGGTGTACCATCCTTCCCTCCAACACTGTGCCTGTGCCTGCATTAACTTGTGCTCAGTAATGCATGCTCAGCCATAACAACATCTCCTTAGAACAGGGAGGAGTTGAATTTCATCGTTTGCTCTATTTTGTAGTTTTACTTGTGCCTGTTAGGCTTACAGCTCTCTCTGGGTCTCGCTGGCTGCTTTTGCCAGTTCTGAGGCTGCTCTGCACTGGCTGATGGAGGCAGCTCCAGCTTTTCCAGTAGGAAGAGGTGAACACACAGGGTCTGGTTTCTGCAAAGGCAGGAGCAGATGGAGCTCTGGCCCATCCTTGTCCTTCCTGGACAAAGGTAGCCCAACAGGCACCTGCTGCAGCAAAGGACCCATGGTGGGCTGCAGGTACATTTCCAGGGCTCCCCTCAGAGCCACCAGGTTTGCAGACAGAGCATCCTGTGTGCCTGGGAGGGCTGAGGTCAGGTGGGTGCTGAGAGGAACAGGCTCTCCCTGGCCACAGTCTTCAGAAACTGAGTTTTGTCTGTGCTCCTACCAAAACTGAAAGGGGCACGAGTTCCTTGTGCATAAGGATACCACTGGATAGCAGACTTCAAGGAATGTGAGGCTGGTAGGAAAAAGGGAGAACCTTTTACAGCATGACCAACATAACTGGTGGAGAAAAACTAAACCAAATCAAACCAATCCACTAGAAAGGTTCCTGGGAACTCCAGCCCTTTGCAAATGGAAACAATCAGAAGGGTTCAAGCTAAGATGCAGCCTGAGTGCAAATGCTCTGACTTCAACTCAGTTATGCTAATTGATTAGCAATTGATTTTCAAAAACATTTACAATAACAGATTTAAAAAGATGTAATGTTCCAGAGCACATTCTGGCAACTTAACAAGCTTTGCTATTTTCTCAGGTTTCTGAAGGGGAAATTCCTGATGCAGCATTGGATGTACTTGCAGGGACAATTTTGCCAGGGAAATTTAACCATCCTGAGTGGGAGGGCTGGGGTCTCTGCTGAGAACACTGAACCTAGGGGGTTGTTAGCACAGGGACACGTGGTTCTGGTGTGTTTTTATCGGCTGCTGCAGGCACAGGCAGCTGCCAGTCACTCCTGTGTCCTGGGTTTGCTGGGAAGGTCTCTTGGGCACAGGCTGGTGCTCCTCCTTCAGCGTCCACTTGGGTTTGTCAGCAGAACAGTCGTGGCAAGGTGCAGCCTTAGAACTGTTGCATTTGCAGTGCAGCCATTCAAGTGATGTGCTCGGGGAAAGAGTCATCCCAGCTCCAGACAGAAGTTTCCATCCCAGCTGCAGCCACTGGATCCTGCTCTGACCCTCCCTGTGCAGCCAAAGCCCTGCCCATCCCTGGTGTTCCTTCTGACAGACAACCAGCACACTCTGCAGGCTTCCCAGCCTCAAGCACCTGCTTGACTCTCACTCGGTTTTTCCTGTTCCTCAGTAAAGAGCAGGAGAGGCCATAATGGGGGTTAACAGTAAGGTTCTTACAGGCAAAGCAAGCAGAGAAAAGCTCTTTCCCAGCATGTCTGTACCCACCCCGAGCTGTAACCTGCTTCTTAGGTAGTTTTGAGTCAAAAAGGCATCTTTGTATTTTTTGTTGTGGAGATATTTTTTTTTCTGCCATAAATTTGACCAGCCACTTTTTGGGCCTGTGAATATTTGAGCATTCTGATTCCCTTGTGGGAAGGAGAGAAGAATTGCACAGTGCATTGATCACCTTGCTCTCTTTATCTTTCTGCTGTCCCTGTTATGTTTCACTTGATGCCATGTAAGAACATATAGGCAACAATGTTCTGTTTCTCTTCATCATATAATTTAAAACTGCACAGATCTGTGCTATTTCTCCCCTTATTTGGGCTGGAACTGTGTTCAGCTGTGCTGTTCCTGTGTGGAAGCTGTCACCCAGCCCTGACTCCACACACAGGGTTTCCCTGGGCTTCCCCTGTTGCAGTGCATCCCTTGGGATGGAGGGAGGGCAGCAGTGCACAGTGCTGTGATTGTGTGGGGCTGTTCTGCTGTGCACACAAACGCTCGGGAGCCCTGGCTCCAAATTTGGGGGAATTTGCCCGTATTTGGTGGGATTTGCCCATATTTGATGGGATTTGCCCATATTTGGTGTGATTTGCCCGTATTTGGTGGGATTTGTCCATATTTGGTGTGATTTGCCCGTATTTGGTGTGATTTGCCCATATTTGGTGTGATTTGTCCATATTTGGTGTGATTTGCCTGTATTTGGTGTGATTTGCCCGTATTTGGTGGAATTTGCCCATATTTGGTGTGATTTGCCCGTATTTGGTGTGATTTGTCCATATTTGGTGTGATTTGCCCATATTTGGTGTGATTTGCCTGTATTTGGTGTGATTTCCCTGTTTGCACAGCCCAGGAGGAGGCCTGGGCAGTGCTGCCCTCCAGCCAGCGTGGTCTGTGCTCCGTGGCAGATGTTGCAGCCTCCAAAGAGGACTTGTTCAGACTCGTTACACCCATGATGCTGTCCCTGAACTGAAGTGAAGCCCCATTCTTACTCACAAATTGCACCTTACACTGCAGTGCAACCAACCAGGCTGCTCCTCAGCCTGGTGTTTCCAGCAACCCAGATCAAGTTCTCTTGAACTAGTGCACCTGTTACTTTTACCAGCAATTCACTTTTATCCATTCCAGTAATTTTATCAGCAATTGTTTTTTATTTCTCCCTGATTGCTAATAGCATATAGCATTGATATGTGAAGAGAATGGAACTGGAGATAACCCTGTCAAATGGCTGTGTAAGATAAGTCTCCTCAGTCACCAAGTTCTTTTGGATCTGTTAATAGTGAGGACACTCACTGCAGCATACAGCTAATTTTTCTTATTAGAATGCCATGCAGAACTTAGTCAAATGACTTACAGATTTCTAAGTATGCCCCATCTCTCTCATTAGCTCTATCAAACTTGTAGGCTTATAAAAAGTTATATAAAATAATTTGAAAGTACCTCCTTCAAATTACATTGAATTAGGTTCTAGTTTTTACTGACTTACCCAGGACATCCTTTGACTGCTTGTCCGTGATTGCTTGGGAGGTATGTTGAACTAACTGCTGTGTAGTTTCTTGGATATCCATGTGAACACATTTAAATACTGACAAGACACTGGTGTTTTTCCCCCTAGTAATCTTAAGTTCCCCAGTGTGCCATGATTTGTTATAAAGAAAAAAATAAATGGTTCAGTGAACTCATTAGCCGATTAAATACTCTTGCATGTAAGCTCTTCTCCTGCACATTATAAAAATTGTTACTTACACAGTTTAGCATCTTCCTTAATTACTGATGGAATAGAAAGTATTTCATTACCACTGTAAAATATGAATACTGCACATAGTTGTTTCAAATGCAGAGCAGAAATATTTACTGCGTTCCTGGATGTCATTATGCAGAATGTGTGCTGCACACGGGGCAGGTGCCCAGGGCCTGCAGCTCTCTGGGCTCTCTGCTGCAGGGCCACGCGGCTCTGGGGTCGGTATTTCAGGGGTTTGAGAGAGAGGAGGGCTCAGAGCAGCACCAGGAGCGGGAGGGGGCTGCAGGGGCTGCTGGCAGCGGGAGCTGAGGGGGTTGGACACTCCAGGGCTGCTCTCAGTCCTGGGTGCAGGTGTGGCTGCCTGTTCTCGGGGTCACAGGGCCCCCGGGGCTGAGAGCCCCCAGCCCAAAGAGAGCCAG